AAGGAAAATGGGTAGCTATGGAATTAGATACAGAGGTTGCAGTATCAGTAATGAGTTTGCAAAATTTCCGGCAAATTTCGAGAAAGAAAATTAAAAATACAAGTCTGGTATTTAAAACATATAATGGAGAAAAACTGATAAATTTAGGATTTACTACAGTTAAGGTAGAATATAAATGTCAAAATACAAACTTAAACCTTTACATTATTAAAGAAAACCTTGATACAATATTTGGTAGAGAATGGCTTTCAGAAATAAATTTAGATTGGTCCTCAATAAAGTCAATTTCTGTCTCAAAAGAGTAGTTTAAATAAATTATTGGAACAATATAAGGAGATTTTTGAAGGAAAATTAGGAGAGATAAAAAATTATGAGGTTCAACTTGAATTGAAGCCAAATGTTTCACCAAAATTTTATAGAGCTAGGCAAGTACCATTTGCGATAAAGGGCTGGATAGATGAAGAAATTGATCGCTTGGAAAAAGAAGGTGTAATCAAAAAGGTTGAAACGTTGAAATGGGCAACTCCGGTAGTACCAATAGTTAAGCCGGACAGCTCTATATGACTTTGTGCCGACTACTCAGTGACAGTAAACCCAAATATTGTTACACATCAACACCCTTTGCCAATCATTGAGGAAATATTTTCATGTTTGAACGGGGGAAAGCATTTTTAAAAAATTGATTTTAAACATGCTTATTACAAATGAAAGTATACCCTGAGACTCAAAAATTGCTAACAATAAAGACACAGAAAGGATTATATAAGAGTAAGAGATTAATGTTCGGGCTAAATGCAACGCCGGCAATCTGGCAACATTGCGTGGATGGACTATTCGACGGAATAGAAGGGTGTAAGGTCTTCATAGATGATGCGCGGATGATGAGACACATTTAAATACTTTAAAAAATTTCTTCGAGAAATGTAAAACTTATGGACTGAAATTAAATTTAGAGAAAAGTAATTTTTTTTAGTATAAGATAAAATTTTTAGGTCATAAATTTGATGCTAATGGTTTACATAAAACTGATGAAAAAATATCAGCGATTGATCAGTTGCCAATTTTTGATCCAAAATTGGCAACTGATGCATCCCTAGTGGTGTTAGGTGTGGTACTTCCCTAACAAACTTCCTGATGGAACAGAAAGGCCAATTGCATATGCTTCAAGAACACTGACTGAAATGGAGAAAAAAATATTCTCAAACTGATAAAGAAGCTTTGTCAATCATTTGGGGAATAAAAATTTTTTTTCTGTACTTAAAAAGCAGAAAATTTACCTTAATTACAGATCATAAACCTCTTGTCGCAATTTTCTGCTCAAAGAAAGGCATGCCAGTTTTGGCAGCAACAAGACTCCTACATTATGCTTTGGCTTTACAGTCATCAGCAACGAGACTCCTACATTACACTTTGGCTTTACAGTCATTCCAATTCGATATTATTTACCGTAAAACAAACGAGCATGGTAATGCTTTCTATCACAATTGCCGACGAACTCAGAGCAGCGTCTGTTCAGGATGATGTAACTATTTTTCAATTACAGCAGATTGAATCTCTTCCAATCACGGCCAGAGATTTGGCTAAAGAAACTGAAATAGATGCTGAACTTAGTCCTCTGCTATGAATACTACAAAGCGGCGGTGAATTGAAAGGAAGGGAGATGGAGTACAGTCTCCAAGATGGCTGTATAATGTATGGTCAACGCGTTTGTATTCCAAAATGATACCGTGAGAATGTTTTGAAAGAGTGCACCACAGACACTTAGGGACTGTAAAGATGAAAGCAATTGCTAGATCTTACATATTTTGGAAAGGTATAGATAATGATATCGAAAATACTTCTAAAAACTGTTCTGAATGTACAAAACATAAAATAGATCTTCCTAAGGTAAAAGTTCATCATTGGGAGTACCTGAGTGCTCCAATGGAACGTATTCACATCGGTTATGCAGGACCTATTTCTGAGCATATGTTTTTGATAATCGTCGATGCTCACTCAAAATAGCTAGAAGCCTATCCAATGAAATCAAGCTCGACTTTCAAAACAATAGAATGTTTACTGGACTTTTACGTGTTATGGGACTTGAGTGATAACGGGCCACATTTCACTTCACATGAGTTTAAGATATTTCTACAGAGTAACAGAATCAAACACAAACTACAGCAGCATTTAAACCATCTAGTAATGGGCAGGCTGAACAGTATGTGTTTACAGTAAAACAATCTTTAAGAACAATACAAAATTATCCAGGAACTTTGAGACAAAAACCCAGTACATTTTTGATGCAATATAGGAAAGCTCCGAATTTAACTACTTTGCAGAGCCCTGCAATGCTAATACTGAAGAGGGAAATTCGAACAAGAACAGATTTATTAAGACCAGATCTTAAAAGGAGGGTGGAAGACAGAGTTCGAAAAGGAACCTACGAGTTTGCAAACCGAGGATTTAGAGTAGGAGAAAGAGTGGCAGTAAGAAATTATCACCAAGGTGATAGACAGTGAAGATTTGGAAGAGTCCAGCCCAAGGATGAGCAGCTACATTACACCATAAATGTAGATGGTTAGCTATGGCGGCGACATGTCGATCAGATGCGTGATGGAAGAACCATAACTGATGAGGGTTTCATACGTCCACCTCCAGCTTTTGTGATCTCCAAAGAGCCTGATAAGAGTGGAGTTCCAGAACCATCTAGAGATAATAGCCACCAGGCAGATGAATCTGTGTCGTCCTCCGAGCCCAAGGTCATACTAGATGTTCCATCCACCGGACCTGCTGCTGATACAACAAGGTTACCAAAGAAACCAGCAGTGCTACAACCTTTGCGTCGGTCCAGTAGAATTCAATGTCCCCCAGATAGACTGCAGTTATGATAAAGGGGGAGGGATGTAGTATATCGAGAACTATCAATGTGGTTTAACATAATCGGACTTAAAGCGCCAAGCATCGAAGCACGCACAGTAATAAAGTGACTGGAATGGGAGTAGCTGTACATATAAGTGTGTATGCAAGTGATGATATATTTTGTACATGTAATAAAAATAGCATGTAGTTTAAAAGAGTGTGTCTTGTGAAATAATTACCGACTAAAGGACACATGGTAACTATTTCTGTGGCAAGTTCCAGAACTCTGTATTGTTGCTTTTGATAAAATAAATTTTATCAAAAGTCAGAAACTGCTTCAAAAAGGTGTCCTTGAATGGCTAATTATCAGCCTTGTTTTTAATGAATGAAAATGGAATCAATTGCAATTTCTAAAAATGAAATTCTTAAGTCCCCATTTAGTTTTTAGTTAATTCTTAAGAAAGACATTGACTATTATCTCATTTTATTTCATGGTGTCACCTGTTGCTGATGGAAAGAATAATTTGTTTGTATTTGTTTTTGTTTGCTGATATGTGATGCCATGAGTGGGCTGGTAATCACTGGTCACTCTGATAGTTACAAGACCAGATCTTGTTAATTGAGCAAAAGCTAGTTTCATCCTGAGTGATAGTGATTGCCAATGCATATCCATATGGAGTGATATCACTGCAGCTTTCTTATTGATTCAGACATTCATGTGATGTAACTTTCTTAAGGGATGCAGTTATCGTTTCATAACCATTTTATCCTTGTTGTTGGAACGGTACCTTATTCCAAAGAAATTTGTAATTGACCTGAAACCTGCAGTCAACTTTTCAATACTCTTTGTACATTGTGCCATCAATGAAACTTCCTAATTTTAGATTGCTGGTAATACTTAAGTTTGTGAATCATCATATTGAGATTCTACAAATGAAAAGAAACATTAATGAAGTTTCAGCCTAAAAGTTATATATCTACACAAGTCCCTGTAATAGTATGTATATGTCAAATTAATCATTTGCTCCAGTTATCTAAAACATGTTAGTAAGAAATAATGACAGAACAACAAATATATTATGCTTTACATCTTGTAGATTGCCCATTTTAACTGCACAGGTTGTCGTTCACATAACCCCCACTAAAAAATGTCGTATAGAATAAGATCTGCAGATTATGACAATAAAAAAATTTGGTCTTTGATGTCTAATTCTTCACTTTCAAAAGATACTTTCCAGAGCACATTCAGATGCAACCACATGCCTTTGTAAAAATTCTGGATAAAATTTAAATTACACAAACTTTACTTACATATTCATCTTGATTTTATCCTTTCTTAAAAGTATGAGAATTTATTGTGGACAGCCTGTATTAGTCAGTGATAAATAACAGAAGCATGCCTTCAGTAGATGTTTAAAATGCTTCCGTCATGCTATAAATTAGACATTTTTATAAAATATATATCATTCTGCATATGATTTTTTTTCATTAATCGCTGTCTTCTAGATAAATTACTCTACAATGATAACTACTAAACAAAATTCTTAGCAGTACTTTTAATTTTAAATGAAACTGTTCTCATCACTGGTTAATATGCTAATAGAATGCTGGAAACTGATAGTTCCATCCTGAGTCTTATTATCATAAGAAGAACAGAGTTAATGCTTACATACATTGTTAATTTTTTTCATGCACAATGTAAACATGAGTTATCTTCTTCTGAAAATCTCTCATAAGGATTCTCAGTCCTTTGAGAAAGAGAAGACCTGTTTTCAAGTGTTAAAACTTAATTGAGGATCCGGTTTTTGAGTACCTTTTGTAATATTTTGCTTGTTAATTGATTATGGCTATATACAGAGGGGCTGTGTATGTTATGAGGAACACTTTTGGAATAGGGTTTCCGTTACTTATCAAGAACACACACATTTTTTTAAATTCTTTTGCATTCATATTATGCAAAGTGAAAATTTTAATAAAAAAAACAAAATATAAATAACAATAATTAAACAATATTGAATAAAATGTGAAGATTTATAACTATTTTTCATTCTTGATTATAAATATTTAGTTTCTTAAGGACAGCTTTTTAAAATTTCCAGAAATTCAATAATTTGCATTCAATATTGTTGCATTAATTTAATAGTTTGCCTTTTCAACAGTACTTGATGCTGAAAAAGCAGACAAGGACATGTTGTCTGCATTTGTTGAGGATATAGACAGCTGGTCAGATGCTGAACCTCCATCTCCTAAGACTTCAACAAAAAGAGGGCAAAAAAGGAAAAATTCTGCAGGAGGAGGTCGAACAAAAAAGAAAAAAATGGTTTTTGCAAAGAAGAAATGGCAGAAAGCAAAGAGCAATAACAGGTAAGCTAAAGCTTGGCATATAGTTTAATTATTTAATGCATTAAAAGTATATTTCTAGATGAAATTTAACATTATAAATTATGTTTTTTGAAAACTGACTCATATGACATTTGAAAACTGGCTCTATGCTTCAATATGCTCCGTACTTATTATAAACATATTCTGCATAACAAGCCTGATAGAATTTTAATTTTGTTATATACTTAATTTTTTTAAATCAATGCCAAATAGAGTAACATTTCTGAAATTGTGTTTTGTCTCCCACATTTGCAAATTAAGCTTCGTTACACGATTTTAAGTGAAGGAAATTATAGTAAGATTACAATATGGTTCTTCAGATTTAACTCTTACACCTTTGATGATCAGATCTTATTTCATCTTAAAATACTGGCATAGTTTTGACATTAGAAATGTCTATGTATAATTTTCTGAAGCATTACATTAAAAGGTATTACATTATAATACCTTGGCATTAACTAGCCACTCAGACTAGCAAGCTAAAAATTCCAGCAGCTTTTGCAAAATCTTGTAGGAGATCTTTATCTTTCAAATTATACTACTACTCTGTGTATTAGCATAACAAATAGATTTATAATATAGGTTTCATCTATTTTGTAATAAATAGTGCATTCCTTTTAATCATCTTCGAATTCAAAATAGCAATAAGTGAAAAAGACAGTTGAATTTATATGGAAGAAGCTTCTAGCATTTCCATATGTACAAATATTTTCCAGACATCTCTTAAAACCTAAAATAATGGTTAGTAAAATAATATAATGATACATTCAGAGAGTATATAAACAAAAATAATATATGTATAATGTAGTTTCAATTACCAGAGCTGAAAAGAGCATGAGCTGACTGGAAGCCATTAATGTGATGGCAGCGATAATAATACATTGAGTAATCAGAGATTCAGTAAGGGGAGATATAAAGTTTGGTATAAGAGGAAAAGGACAAAGATCATTTATCAATGTTTTATCATTGCTACCTGTAAAATCAGGGTACCTGCATTTTTTTTTGCCTACCTGGTCTAAAGTTGAAAGGCAAAATTTACTGTCCTGTGGTTGATAAGAAAGGCTTAGTTAAAGCTATCATTACAACCTACTAACGAAAAATAAATAAAATAATAATAATTAAAAAATAAATAGAATCTGAAAGCTTTCAGATTTTACATAACCCCCAAAGGGGCATTTTTTTAACGTTTTGTGTGTTACCATTGTTTATTAAATATCATGTTTGCACTTAAGCCATAAGTTCAACAGCAATATTGCAAAATAATTTTAAAATGAGCATATCTTTAGAATTTCTGATACACAGTCTCGCACGCTGGAGAAAAAAATTGTCCCCCCTTCCATACAGTCTTACCATTGCTTGCTTTGAAATCGTTGAGTTTGTTAATCAAAAATTCATTAAAGTGTTACAAAATTTGAAATTGATAATAAAACAAATTCGAGATTCCAGAAGCCCATATTTGGGTCTAGACGTAAATTATTTAAAATTTTATGGTTCGAAGTACTGTTTTTATCACAATGCGAGAAATCTATATACATTTATGCAGATTCTTCATTATTCAATTTTTTTTTTTAAATATAACACAGGTCTCCAATATTTGGTGGCAATATTTAAAAAGTGAACCGACATTTATAGCGAACCAACGCAAAATGCCAAAACGAAATTAATAACCCTTCTGGGCTAATTAAAATTTTTCTTCTTATAAAGTCTAGGAGTGAAGACTAACATGCAGGGGGAAAAAATAGGTGTAGTGTAAATGTGATTAACTGAGATTCCTGCATGTCACTTTCAAACATCAGCTAACTATGGAATTTTACTGTGGCCAATGACATTGATTGATGTTGGCCAAGATCACACTTTCCACTTTTGTGTGGTTGGAGGTTCGCATTTTTCTGTCTAACCTAACAAGTGAAGCCCCAAATGCTGCCATGTCTATATCATTTTACTAGAACTGATGACCTAAAACCCAGAAATTTCTGAAGTTCCCATGATTCTGGATCTTGGTACGTTTGGTTTTATACTGTAGTATGTTTGGCTATTAACACATATATTTTCTTGCTATTGTGCTGGTCTTCTGAGGCAATCAATATGTCTTGCAAAAAAATGTTTTAATCTCTTATATTGCATCATAAATAGTTGTGCATTTCTTAAATCGCTGCATAAAACAAACACTGAACCATTCTTTCATTTTTCACTCTTTTCATAAAAGCAAAAAATCTTCTTCATATTTCCTTATCAACTGGAAAAAATACCAGTTTAAATATTTTATGAAAGTAAATGTTCATGATAAAGAAATACCTATATATACATACTTCTTAATAACCTTTACTTTCAAATAATATATCTATTTGATATGATTTATTATGTATGCAAAATTTCTACTAAAATGAAAAATAATATGGGTATGGCATTCAGATACAGAAATCATACAGAAAAGTAAGTATATAGATAAATGCAATCTATGTTGCTACAAAATTTTACAGTTAGATCCTTCCCCTTTTTATGCAAGTAACTGTATATAGATCAGAGATTTAGTGACTTTTTTTTGGCAATGTAAATATATTATATATGATACAAAATATTTTCATGAAGTATTATTTAGCAGCAGAGATTGCTTTTGTATGAATCATCATGATATACAGTCAAAAGTCTTTAATCCGGACTCGTCGGGACTTCGGCGATTCTGGATTATCGGTTTTTCTGGATTATAGCTCATCAATTTAAATCTGGTAAGATGGCATGCAGAAATTATAAAATTAAAAATATGAAACCGTAATTTATGAAATAAAGAGCAATTATGATTTAAAGGGTATCAAAATTTACAAAAAAAAAAAGCTTCATATTTATTTGTTTACTTTATTAAGCATTTCTTTCAACGCGCGCATGCGTGAAGCATACATTACGCATAGTCGAAATTAGAAAATTGCAACCAGAAAACTATTTGATGTGTATTCGTGATATTTATAATGATGACGAATTTGATTTAACTCATATCAAAGACGGAGTACATCGAGATGAAATACTACATTTAGTAAAGAATTATAAGCCGAATACAATATATAAAAACATCTGCAATGAAGATAAGGATAGTGCTAACAGATCAACTTCCAGTTCATTGTGCGCTGCGACGTTTCCCCCCCAACCCCGTAGAGCAGCGTGAAATTGATAAACAGATGGAAATGATTCGGAATTTATTATTCGGAATGGTTAGAAAAAAAGGATATGCCTTTATCCATTTTTGCAGCAATTCCACTTTTTGTTTGATGGACATCAAAACATGCTTTCGCTTTCTAGATCCTTTGGCATTTCCAGAATCGGAAATTCTTTTTGACATAATCGAAAGTTCAAGCTTACTTTTATAAAATTGCTCTAACAGTCTGCAAAAAATAATAAGCCGGATCCAATTCGAAGATTGGAACAACGCAATCAGCAACTTTAACTGAAATAGATAATTAGATAATTTTAGCTTAGCTTATACTGTCCATTATACATTAAATGTGTATGCGTAAACGCATATGCACACGCGTAAAAGTATTATGCGCATGTGTAAATGCATATGCACATGCGTCAAGTTTATAGCTTTGAGGTCCGGATCATAGATCATTCCGGATTAACGACTTTTGACTGTACTACATTTTTATAACAAGGAGCATTAATGAATAATCTATGCTACGAAAACTAGCAAAAAATCGGGATACATTTCTGATTATCTCTGAACTGCTACAACTATTCCATCAAAGTTGTGCAGAGATGTATTACTCTGCTAAAATATTACAAAGGAGGTAAATCAAAAACTTCAAAGAATAGAGTATATGAAATAATGTTAGGCAAACAAAATATTTTTATTTTTCAATATAATCTCTTCCTAGGGTAATCCCAGTGTTTCTTCTAGTACATGGTTAGGAGCAAAATTCTTTATCCTGTTCTAAGAATTAATTATCAATAATATTAATTATATCACCACATGCAAAATGCACTGTACAAATTCTTTGTTCAGATTTGTAAATAAAAAGTCACTTAATATCATGTAAAAATGAAGGGAAAGGTAATATTCCTGCAGCAGTTACGACAGCGACTGCTTTAACAGAAGGAAATGATTGCATTTTATTATGGTGGTAAAAGACTTCCTTTAATAGCTTTCTTCTTTCATTAATTTCTTCCCTTAATTTTGCTATCTACTCTGCATGATAATCTCTTGAGATTTGTTCATGTATCAAAAACTAATTAATTATCAAAAACCCTTTGCAATCACTGAAAAACATTAGTCATAACTTTGGCTGATGATGTTGATACCGAAATGTCACACATAAAAAAGTATGTTTACAGTTCACATTCTATTGTTTTCTCTCAGGACTGAAATGGTGTCCCGTATTTAACCATCGTCACATGTCTATATAGAAACTTTTCTGCATCCTGATGAAACACTGACAAAACAGACTCTGAAATCATCACAAGATCTACTTTCACTCATTAACATTCTCGGTATGCATTGAACTTTTTTTATCACAAAAACATTTTCTTAAAGTTGATTTTACTCTACCAGAATGAAATACCCACACTTTCTGTTGCAAGTCTAATAATCAGTCACCTACCTTATGTTTTTTCTGCTTTGATAAATATTTTCTGTGTGATTGGCATGGATGGACAAGCAGAATTTGGTTTATCTTAATACGAAATTTCTCCACTGCAAAATTATATTTCCAATTTAGCAAATCATTTTTTAATTTCTAAAAATAGACTAACTGCAATATCAAAAAATATAAAATTTCAATAGTTATATAAAAAATTAAAAAAGTTACTCATATTAATTAATAGACAACATTTACTGTTCCTTTACAACATGTACGATCATTTTATGAGTTATTGCGTTAGTTTCTTGTTTACTTATATCCTAACCAGGGTTTAATTTCCAAAATTAGTGGTACCAGAGCCCTTTTGAAGGTTATCTGGAAAGGTAAATAAAGTAATAAATAATTATTAAAACT